CAGGCCTCCACTCTCCTTGCTGGGTCCAAGGAGGTTGAGGGTGGAAGGTGCCTGAGGGCCATAGGCTGTCCATTTAGCCAGGTGGTGGGCTTCAGGCCCTTCCCATGGACCTACCTTCTCCCGGGAGCCTTTCCGAAACAGGTACCTAAAAAGAACCTGGGTGCACCAGACGCCAGGAAGTGCTTCAGGGAGGACTTCCCAAGAGGCCAGGTGCCCTGAAAGGGCTCTGAAGGTTTTAACTAGGGGAGAAGGGTCTTCCGAGCAGAGGGCTCAGCAGGCTGTGGGTGGAGAGGAGGCCAGCCAACAGGTGATGTGACCTTGACCCCTTCTCCCCAGCTACCACATCGCCTTTGGGCCCGTGGTGGACGGTGACGTTGTCCCTGATGACCCTGAGATCCTCATGCAGCAGGGAGAATTTCTCAACTACGACATGCTCATTGGCGTCAACCAGGGAGAGGGCCTCAAGTTCGTGGAGGACTCGGCAGAGAGTGAGGATGGCGTGTCCGCCAGCGCCTTCGACTTCACGGTCTCCAACTTTGTGGACAACCTGTATGGCTACCCAGAGGGCAAGGACGTGCTACGGGAGACCATCAAGTTCATGTACACAGACTGGGCCGACCGGGACAATGGCGAGATGCGGCGCAAGACCCTGCTGGCGCTCTTTACTGACCACCAGTGGGTGGCACCGGCTGTGGCCACCGCCAAGCTGCATGCTGACTACCAGTCTCCCGTCTACTTTTACACCTTCTACCACCACTGCCAGGCTGAGGGCCGGCCTGAGTGGGCGGATGCAGCGCACGGGGATGAGCTACCTTATGTCTTTGGTGTGCCCATGGTGGGCGCCACTGACCTCTTCCCCTGCAACTTCTCCAAGAATGATGTCATGCTCAGCGCCGTGGTCATGACCTACTGGACCAACTTCGCCAAGACTGGGTGAGGGCCAGAGGGGCTGGGTGGGGCAACCCTGCAGGTCAGGGCACACACACACCGTCCATCCTCAGTCCCTTCTCTCCCTCTTCGTCACACGGCCATCATTCCTCCTTCAAGGCGCTCTCACCTTCTCGACTCAGACACCTGCCGGACAGCTCCTCTGTGCATGTTGGAGGTTCAGAAACGTTGGACCAAGAGGTCCTTTCCGGCGGGTGGGCTCACTTGATGGCTCTGGCTCTGTGTCTGTCTTTGCGTACACCACTCTTTCTCCTCTGAGGGCTCCCGTCTGTGTTTCTGAGTATGTGTATAAGAGTTTGTATCTCTCTCTCTCTATTGCTGTCTCTAGCTCTCTCTTCTGAAATCCATTGATATCTCTGCTCTCTTTGATCTGCTTACTCTTTGCTCCCTGCTTCCCCCCACCCCCAGCTGCCTCTCATGGGCTTTTGTCTCTTTGTTTCCATATGTCTCTGTCTCATTCACTCTGCCTGTGTCACCGGCGGTCTGTCCGTCTGCCCTCTCTGTCCCTCTGGCGTCATCTCAGGCTGTCTCTGTGGCAGTATGGCTTCATCCCTATTTTTCTCTGCCTATCTCCGTCTCTGGCAGTGTCTCTGTCTCTTCGTGTCTGTCTCTCTCTGCTTCTCTTTCTATCTCCCCAGCTCTCTGCATCTCTGCCCATCCCTCTCCCCCGTTGGTCCCACAGCCAACCCGCTTCTCATCAGGGCCTCACCCTCACTCCTTTCCCTGCCCACCTGTGTCCACAGCGACCCCAACCAGCCGGTGCCGCAGGACACCAAGTTCATCCACACCAAGCCCAACCGCTTCGAGGAGGTGGTGTGGAGCAAGTTCAACAGCAAAGAGAAGCAGTACCTGCACATCGGTCTGAAGCCGCGCGTGCGCGACAACTACCGCGCCAACAAGGTGGCCTTCTGGCTGGAGCTCGTGCCGCACCTGCACAATCTGCACACGGAGCTCTTCACCACCACCACGCGCCTGCCGCCCTACGCCACGCGCTGGCCGCCGCGCCCGCCCCCTGGCGCCCCGGGCACGCGCCGCCCGCCGCCCCCCGCCACCCTGCCGCCCGAGCCGGAGCCCGAGCCGGGCCCTCGGGCCTACGACCGCTTCCCCGGGGACTCCCGAGACTACTCCACGGAGCTCAGCGTCACCGTGGCCGTGGGTGCCTCGCTCCTCTTCCTCAACATCCTCGCCTTTGCCGCCCTCTACTACAAGCGGGACCGGCGGCAGGAGCTGCGGTGCCGGCGGCTCAGCCCCCCCGGCGGCTCGGGCTCTGGGGTGCCCGGCGGGGGCCCCTTGCTCCCCGCTGCCGGCCGTGAGCTGCCACCCGAGGAGGAGCTGGTGTCGCTTCAGCTGAAGCGGGGTGGGGGCGTTGGGGCGGACCCTGCAGAGGCCCTGCGCCCCGCCTGTCCGCCCGACTACACTTTGGCCCTGCGCCGGGCGCCGGACGACGTGCCTCTCTTGGCCCCCGGGGCCCTGACCCTGCTGCCCAGCGGCCTGGGGCCACCCCCTCCCCCACAGCTACCAGCCACAACAACACGCTCCCCCACCCCCACTCCACCACTCGGGTATAGTGGGCGGCTCGGGGAGGACCCCCTCCCCGGCCCTCCCGGATGCAACAGGCTTTTCTCGTGTGGAGCTGTCACACGTGGAAGAGCATTAGGTGGACATGGGTTTTCTCACAGCGATGCGTCTCTCCCAAGCAGAGAGGCCCTTTCTCTTCTCCGGACCTGGGCCTTTGAACACCTGGGGAGGGGGGTGTTTTCTCCCCTCCGTTGGGACACCCACGTGGAGGTGTGCTTTCTCACGAGGGGGTGTGTTTTCCCATGTGCAGGGTGAGGTTTTTTTTTGGCCGCCCTGGACACATGTTGGCTCCCTCAGAGAATTCCTGCGGGGATTTGTACCCCAGAATTCTGTTCCCTCATGCCTTCTCCCTCCTGCTCCTTCCTCCCACCCCCTGGAGACCCTGGAAGTGGTGTGTTCACAGAGACCCCTGGCTGCCAGATGACACAGGGTGGTGCCCGGGAAAACCGAAGAAATAAATCACAGCCCCCCGTCCTGGCCCCTCCCCCACCGCCTCCCACCCCTGGCGAAGCATGTGTATCCCCCCTTGGCACAAATGAGGTGAAGCAGGTCTTCCCAGGCAGGCCTCGCCTTCCACCAGACACAGAGTCCCTGCCGTGGGGGGCAGGGAGGAGACCCTGCAATCTTGTGCTGCCTGGGACCGTGTCTTTCCATGGGCCCAGGTCGCATTTCTGAGTGGAATCATGTTTTTGCATGTGGATGTATGTTTTCCCATGCAGACAGCCCCTTTCGCTCCAGCATTTCCCTGAGTCTTCCCAACCTCAGGCCCAGCACTTCTCACACAGCAGGTGGGAACGGACTTCAGACTGATAGAAACTGAGGGGGATGGACAAGCCCTGGGGCGGGAGGGGGGGGGGGACGACTCTGCCCCTCCCTCTCTCCCTTCCCTGGAGATGCCAAGCTGGGGGGCGGAGGGTGAGTGTGGCACCTGCCACCCACAGATACCATGCAAGGCTTGACCAAAGCCCTCACTGCAGTCTGAGGACAGCCTTTCCCTCAGGCCATTGCTCATCTGTGCCAAACCAGTGAGGTGGGTTTGAGGGGGGAATACCCTCAAAGTGTGGCAATGATCCCCCAGTCCTGGGCCCAGGCAAGTAAACGTGGGCAGGTGGGATACAGGAGGGGGGGAGGTGGCAGCTAAAGGGGTCCCGCCTGTGTCCCTCTTCTCACCATGTGTCATCTCTCCCTCTCGGCCTCTGTTCTCCCTCCCCGCATCGCTGTCCCCCTGGGAAGCCATCCCTTCCTGGTGTCCAACCAGCTCCTCCCCTCAGCTGCCCACCCCCTCCTTTGACCTGCCCCCACCCCTTGCTCCCCTGGGCTGAAGGAAAGGAACAGAGGAGAGGGGAGGAGAGCAGGGGAGAAGGGCTTCCCAGGACAGGTTGGGGAGAGAATGGGGTCAGCTGGACTGAGGAACAGATGGAGGGGGCAGTGGGGGACGGGGCTTGGGCAGACACCAGCAGGAAGAATTTGATTTTGAAAGGACGCGTGTAAGGTGACTGCCCAAAGAGAAAGGGTTTGGGCCTCTGGGGAAGAGAACCGTGTCGGGAAGGGTTTCAAGGGATGCCAGCGGAGAAGAGCAAATCCTTGTCTGCTGGCATTTTGTGGGTTCGTTAGTGCCAAATGTGAGTCAGGGGTGGAGTGCTGTCTTCCACTGACACCTAGATTCAGAGTCCCTGGTCTCGGCTCCCCAGAACTTTGCCTCCTGACTGTCCCATCTGCCCCCACCTTCACCCATGGAAACTTAGTTCTTCTCCCTCCCCTTCCCCTGCCTGGGCTGGCTCCTTTCCAAACAGTCATGCCCTCTAATTGCTAGGGACCTGGGCCCTGAACCCTGTAGACAGATGCCCCCCAAGTTGGGGCATGGGAGGGGGGCTGGGGGACCCCATGATTCAGCCACGGACTCCAATGCCCAGCCCCTCTCCCCAGAACAATTCCCTGACAACCCCATGTCCCCACCCAACCCTTTGCGGCTCTGTACACATTTTTAAACCTGGCAAAAGATGAAAAGAATATTGTAAATATAAAAGTTTAACTGTTGGTTTTGCCTACTGTTATGTTAGGAGGTGGGGGTGGGGGGCTCCATAGAAACAAACCTTGGAGAAGTGACTCTGCCTGTGAAGGGGGTGGAGGAGAGGGTCCAACCCTTTTTAGTGAAGAGCTCTGAGGTCTGAGAGGAATGGGCAGTGGATGCTGGGGTGTGGTTGTCATGGCAATGGGGTTGTTTGGGGAGTTAAGATCAGAACCCGTGCCTGTGGAGGGGTCACAGCCTGGCATAGAGGACCAGGCAGGCCAGAGAGCCTACAGGATGGTGCCCATGGCTGACTCCAGGAGAGTCATGCAAGGTGTAGGGTTTGGTCTCTGCTAAGACCTGGCCCAGGCTGGAGGCTCAAACCTGGGCCCAGGACTCTCTCTTGGCACATTGTGAGGGAGAGCCCCACACCATTATGACCTGTTTACCCCCAGGGGACAGGAAGGTGGGCTGGTGGATACTGTGGGCACAGTGGGCTGGGGGCCTAGGGGCCCCGGTGGCCCTAGGGACCCCCATGGCCATGGCTGAGCGGCCACGGCCTGGGTGGGCCTCGTATCACAGCCCTAACACCAACAGCTGCCAGGACCTGGGCAACTCTATCCTGCTGCTGCTGGGCCTTATCATTTGCATTAACATTGGCATCAACATGGTGACACTGGTCAGGGTGGGCCCAGGTGGGAGGGTGCTGGCAGGACGGCTAGGGGCAGGCCTGATGGCCAGGGCCTGTCTGGGGTCACTGTGTCCTTCCTCACCTAGCTCTGGCGCAGACTCCGTGGCTTCTTACACCAAGTGTTCCATGTTATTTATGATAAAGGTAAGTGGCGGATGGGGGGGGCGTGGGAAGGGCAGAAATCGAGCAGTCTGTCCCTGTCCTTAAGCCAGCCCCTTCCCCTCCCATTCTCCCTCTCAGACTCCATAACTACGCAGCTTCTCTTCCTGCACCCTGCCTCTCCATCCCTGTAGGAGCCAGGCTCCCCACCAGCATCTCACCTCTCCTTGATCCACAGAAGCTTCCAAGTTATGCTCACCTGGGAAGCAGACCCAGCCCTCGAAGCATAGCTCTCCAGCAGTCCACCTACGATGCACCATGGACCCCGTGAAGATGACGGTGACCCCCCCACCCACTCGCCGCCGTCGCCGTCGAGGCTCTTCATCGCGCCGTGCCCACCGCCCAGTGGCCTGGGCCCCTGACACTGACGATGACAATGACAAGAAGCCCCCGCATCAGCACACAGCAGCCTGCTCCCACAACTGGGACTACCCTGAGGATTGGGAGGGTTTACAGTCTGCCCAGAGGTTCTGGACTCCCTGGGCCCAGGACGCCTTGGAGCCTCCTACCCAGACCATCCGCTTCCAGCAGACTATAGAGGGAAGGCCCCTCAAGAGAGAGATGCAGTCTGACCTGGGCCTAGAGGCCTACGTGTACCCTGTGAATCCCCCACTCCCCAGCCCTCAGATCCTGAGCTATAAGAACAGTGGAGGTGGGGCAGGGGCAGGGGCCCAGGCGGAACAGGAGCAGTGCGCACCAGCCAAACCACCCATCCTGGGCCCAGCCAATGTCCCAGACATCCCCCGGCGCCGCTCCTCAGGGCGCGTAGCCTACGATGCCAGGGATGTGAGGCGGCGGCTGCGGGAGCTGACCAGGGAGGTGGAGGCCCTGTCGCACTGTTACCCTCTGGCCTCTGGATCCAGCACAGCTGAGGGGACAAGAAAGGACTGGGTATACCGTTTCCTGACAGAGAGGTGACTGGGAGAAGAATAAAAAGAAGAGAGGAGGTGGATTGTGGTGGTGGTGTGTGTGTGTGGGGGGGGGTGTGTGTGCCAGGGCCCACACAGCACCCAGAAGCTTGGTTACTAAGGAAATGATCTCCCTGGCAACAGGGCCTAGAGAGCCCCGAGGCCCCTCATCAACCTCTTGGCCCCAGGCCCTGTCCTCAGCCTTTTCCCAGGCCTTTCTTGGTTCTGAGGCTCCTGCCTGCTTCTGCTCCATTTTCTTTAGTGTTCGAGGAAGCCCCCACCAAATCCCACTCCAGATGCCCAGGCAGTACTGCACTTGAGGGGAGACCCTCATCCCATGGCTCCACCTCCTCAGAGGTCTGGCTCCTGCCAGAGCCCAGGTTCATGCTGCAGCTACAGGTGAGGTGTGGTCCCTCTTAAGCCCTGGAATCTTTGGTGGGGGATTACTGAGGGTTAGGGTACCCCGGCCCTCACAGTTCCCCTGTCAGAACCCAAAGCTCCTGTACCCTCGAGCAGGCTTGGAGCAGTGATAAAATACAGAGGATGCTGTGGCCCTCTGTGACCTTCATGTCTCTGGCTCAGCACCTCCATATCACAAATGAGACTGGGGCTCAGATCACGTGACTTATGGTCACATGGACTCCAAGGATCAACTTCAGGGCCTCAGGTGCTCCAGCCTCTGCTCCCACAGGTAGATCCCCTTTGCTTCTGAGTCAGCTTGGCCCACCAGAGTCTCCCATCTTCCTCAGTTTCCCATGGAAACTCATCAGAATATTCCATCCACTGGATATCTGGGAAACCCAGGCCCTACCTACTTCTAGACAGTTAGGATCACCAACACATACTCAACTTGTGAACAAGGAACCAGGCGAAGGACTAGACCTCACCTTCCATGCCAGATGGGTTCCTGGAATGTGAGCAGATAGGCCTTTTATGAATCACCTCGCTTCTCTGCCATTTTCCTTTGACCAACATTATTGATCATTTTGAACTGACTCCACTAAGTGGGTCTATTTTAAATGCCTACTATATGTTTGGAGGCTGGATGGGAAATGCCCACTGGCTGTTCCTCTATTTTTCTTTTTCCTCTCTTTTTGACCACACAGTGCGATTTGTGGGATCTTAGTTCCCTGACCAGGGACTGAACCCAGGCCCTTGGCAATGAAAGTGCAGAGTGCTAACCATTGGACCTCCAGGGAATTCCCTGTTCCTCTCTTTCTGCTAAGTTGTTCATTATACAAAAAAAATGACCTGAGGTCCCCGCAGTACCACTTTCTTAGACCACAGCGATGAACCTGGTTTAAATCATAGATTCCTTTTGTCACATCAACAATTACATCCAAAGTTTGTGCTTTGTGAATTTCATGTGGTTTTCTTAAGATGGCAACTAATCCTTTTTCAAATTGGAGGGGTGGCTCAGTGGGAGAGCAGTTGGTTAGGAAGGAGAGAAACCATGGTTGAGGGGTGGTCTCTAGCAAAGGCAGCAACCTCATGCTCTGAAGTAAAGGGGCCAGGTGGCTCAGTGATCACAAACAACAAAGGCTGTAGTCCCCGGCCAGGAAGGGATGGCCAACGTGGATGCTAGAGGGCTTATGACGGGGACATGGGCAGAACTGGGAGGGAATGGTGCAGTGGGGTGACGCCAGAGGGGACTGTCACCCATCCATCTAATCACCTTAGCTGCACACCGCAAGCAGGTGTGGGTAGGGAGTTCCAACAGGCTAAAATTGCCATATCTCAATGAAATGGAGGAAATCCTTTATGCGTGGCTCAGTCCCTATGAAGACCATGTCCCCACTGTAGTATGTTTTCAAATCGAGTTAAGCCAGCCCCTACAAAGACAGGACAGACTGAACTCTGGGGGCTGGGCTCCATTAGTGGGAGTCAAGGGCAAAGATGGCCACATCAAGGGCCAGCTGAGTGCATGAAAGACATGCCACCTCTGCATTGTGACTCCCTGCAACATGCCTTATTGTGACCGCGCTCCCTCACCTGCTGGTAGGTATCCCAGGTCCCACCATGAGTGCAGTGTGGGTCAGGACTGGTGGGGGGGGGTTGGCCCTAGGACCCCCCCACCATGGAAAATCAGCTCTGGTCTGACAACCTGGGGTGCTGCCATCAATACCAAGAAAGTACCCAGGATGTGGAGGACTTCCTGCTCCTGCTGCTGGGCCTTGTCATTCTTGTCAACATCGGGATCAACGTAGCAACTATGGTCAGTGATGGTTGGGGACACCCTGGGGGTGAAGAGGGCTGAGGGTGGGAGCCAGCAGCCGGCACTTGTCCCTGCAGAAATGGTCTTGGCTGGGGAGGGGTTGGGGGCAGTGAGTGGGGAGAGCCTGGCCTTCATTCCCACTCCACCCACCCCACTCCACCCCCAGATGTGGCACAGGCTCCAGAATGTCTTAGACAACAGCACCTCTTGGATTAATCAGAAAAGTAAGTATGGAAAACAGGTAGGGGGCGCCTCGCCCCCGCCACTCCCAAGACCCCAGAAACCCAGGTCCCAGTTATTCCCCACCCTGAAATCTTCTGACAGTTGCTGGGCCCTCATGGACTCTTGCCTCTCCTAGATGAAATCTCACAGGCTTGTGAAAGTTCCCCCAAATATCCTCCAGCCAAGGCCAAAGACGTCCACATCCACTGTACCCTGGACCCTGTAGAAGTGAAGATGGCCCGGCCCACTCACTGCTCCTCTTCCTCCTACCGCCACCCCCGCAGCCGAAGCCACAGCCGCCCTCGCCACCACCAACCTTGCCGCCAGGGCCACTGCCGAAGCCACAGCCGAAGTCGCCCCTGCAGCCACCAGCGGAAGTCAAAGAACCGCAAACGATTCTCCTACAGCCGCTCGGTCTTCGGTAGGCCACGTCGCAGCCACAAGATGTCACAGCTGCGGGCGAGGCCCTCCTTTGATCAGGAGGACCTGGACTCCTACCTGGAGGAGGATGAAGACCTTGCCTTCCCACACCCCAAGTGCCCGAGGGGGGGCTGGGGAGGGCTCTACCAACGGATGGGCCTGCCCTCCAGCGTGGGGCTCTGGGGCCGCCAGGGTGGGATCCTGGCCAGCCTGCCGCCACCTTCTCTCTACCTGTCACCTGAGCTGCGCCGCCTGCCCAAGCGTGTGGAGGCCAAGTCTGAGCTCAGGCTGCAGTCCTTCAGGCCCCTCTGCTCACCATCCCACACCTGGGGCAATGTGGAGGCGGACCAGTGGACCTCGTCTCCACCACCTCCCCGACGGCTGCCCCCCAATCCCTCGTGGGTCCCTGCAGGGCACAGCCCTTACCCCTCAAGGGGCCAGCTCCTGTATGACAATTGGGATCAGCGGCGACGTGGTCTGGAGGCTTCCGAGCCTCCCTCCACTCTGTTGACCCGGGGCTCCCGGCCTGAAGCCCGAGAGCACTGCTCCCCACAGGTCCACCGACGGAGCCTCCTCGGCCATGCTCACAGCCAGCCCAACCGTAGCCCCCACACCTCCACGGGACACTTGAACTACTCTCGGGATCCCCATGAGGTCCGGCGCTGGGCAGCTGAGTGGACTGAGACGCTGCCCACTCGGCACCCTCTGACCACCTCCACCTCCCTCACCGTGCTGGGGGAGGCCTCGTACCAGCGGGCCCCGGCTCCCAGCTCAGCTCTGCTCCTCCGCTCCTCCCAGCCCCTGCCCGAAGTCCAGGCTACAGAGCCGCCCCAGCCCACCTTTATGCCACTCAGCCGGAACCCAGGGGGCAATGCCAGCTACCAGGTGTATGACAGCCTGGAGCTGAAGCGGCAGGTGCAGGAGAGCAGGGCGCGAGCCAACTCGCTGCCACCTTCCAACTCGGCCTCCAGGCCCTCTCTGCATAGAAGCCGGACTGGGAAAATTCACTGACCAGCAGCCAATGGGGGTGGTGGGGGGCAGGGCATGGAGAAAGGAATAAAGATCAAGAGTCCAGGAAACACTGGTGGTCTGTGGCTTGGAAGCGCCACTCCTTCTGCCAGCCTGGGTCCCTGCCCTTGGCTTCCTGAAGCCAGTGTCTCCTCCTTGGCCTGAGGGTCCCCTTGGCTTAGTGGCCACAGTCCTGCCAGCAGGCCCTTCCTGGGCTTATACCATGAACGAAGTAGATTTGCAGGTGCAGACTCCAAACCATTGGTCTCTGGGCACCTACTGTGTTCTCAGCTGTCCCTGTCCCCAAAGCTTATATAAGAAGCTGATTCCAAACTGGGAGGGTCCCCATTTGAACAGATCCAGGTCCACTCCAGTGAAGGGCATGAAGAAGGCCAAGGCTCTGTGGACTCCAGCCAGGCCTTCCCCAGGGCTCTGATGCCAGGGGTCTTCCTTGTCTCAGGAAAGGCCAAGGAGGTGGAATGTGTGGTTTGAATGAGTGACTGAGTGGGCTGTGAGGGAAGGATTGACGGCTTGAGGAGAGGTGTGCTGGCCTCTGGGGCCCTGTTTGACTGTCCAGGCTCAGGCTGCCTGACCCTGGTTACCAGGGAATGCCACTCTTGGCCCTCTTTATTCTCTTCCTCCCTCATTGTGACCCTACCCCCTCCCCATTATGACGCAGTCCTTCTCCCCCTCCCCCACCAGAGGAGCCTGGCTCCTAGTGAGTATGTGGGGGCCAGGGGGCCCAGGTAGCCCTGGGACCCCCAGCCATGGGTGAGAGAACTTACCACGGAGCCCAAGTGTGCTCTGGCACCAACCCCAGAAAGTGCCAGGACCTAGGAGACTCAATTCTTCTGATCCTGGGCAGCTTCATCTTGCTCAACGTCGGGATCAATGTGGTGACTCTGGTCAGGGCAGGATCTGGGCAGCAGTGTTGGGGGAGCCTTGGGGTCTCAAAGGGGCTTAGGTGGGAGGGCTGTTGGGGTGTGGCCAGACAAGGATTGGACTTCCAGGCTCACCCTGCTCCCGGACTCTCCCCTCTTCTGCTTCCTTCAGCTCTGGAAACACCTGAAGAACTCCTTGCGGACTCTTTTCCGTCATTTTTTCCCCAGAGGTGAGTGGGCCCCAGCGTAGGCTCCGGGGATATGGACCTGTCCCCTTTCTTCTATCCCTGTCCCCATCCTCAGCCCCTCAGGAACCCAGGCTTTGTCACATCTCGCCTTTCCCTGCAGACAAGCAATCCAGCTATGCAGGCAGCCATCCCATGTGCATGCGTTGCTCCGTGGATCCCAAGAACCTATGCTCAAGAGTCCCGCCCCGCTTCCACTGCCGCCCAAGCTTCCTGCTTGGGCACCCTAACCACCTGGACTCCCGGATACCAGACACGAACGATGAGAAGGCTTCTAAGTGCTGCTGGATGCCGCCTCAGTGTGGACATGCAGGGGCTCCCATGGAGGTGCCATGGGGACTGTGGAAGGAGGGGCTCATGGGAGCTGGGGAGGACCCTCAGATCACTGCCTTAAAGGCCCAAGCCACCTTCTACTCTAAGCAGGAGACATCTTCCAAGTTCCGTAGGATGAGTAAGGTGGACATGGTTCCACTGCGCCTGCCCCAAGAGAGCAAGACTAAGACCACAGACCACAACCCAGCCCAGGCCCAGACCCACTCCCCAGTCCAGTCCCCTGGTCATGCTCCTGCCAAGGCCCAGACCTTCTCCCCAGCCCACCCCCCTGAGCCCACCCCAGCCCAGACCCAGACCCACGCCCCCATTTACCCCCCTGAGCATGCCCCACCTCAGGCCCAGACCAACTCCCTAGCCCTCGGCCCTGAGCACAACTCTGCCCGGGTCTGTGGTCCGGAGCACACCTCAGTCTATACCCTGGACCAGGCCCCCTCACAGGGCCCAGCCCAGTGCGAGGACCACACCCTTACCCACACTCTGACCCATGCTCATCTAACTTATACCCATGCCCAAACTCTGACCCCTCCCCCAGCTTCTGCCCCAGTCCCTCCCCCAGCTTCTATTCCAGTCCCTCCTCCAACTTCTGTCCCAGTCCCTCCCCCAACTTCTGTCCCAGCCCCTCCCCCAACTTCTGCCCCAGCCCCTCCCCCAACTTCTGCTCCAGTCCCTCCCCCAGCTTCTACCCCTGCTGCTACTTCTGCTCCAGCCCCTACACCAGCCCCTGTCCCCATGTCTGCCACAACCCCTGTCCCTGCACTGGTCATGGCCCTGCCGACCACTCCAGTCCCTTCCATACCCCCTTCCTCCGTCCTAACTTCTATTCCCTCTGCTTTGTCTGCCTTCAGCCAAGGCCTCTCCACTGGCCATGTGGTCTATGATGCCCGCAGGGTAAAGCAGAACTTATTCCATGTATGTGCCCCTCAGAACTCTGGGTATTCCAGAAAGGACTTAGATACACTCTCCAGGCTCCAAGAGGGGCATGGCCTGGTGAGCTCTGGTACAGCTGAGCAAACATTGAGGCAATGTAGTGAGGACAGTGCCAAACCCTTCACAGGATCCGTATTGGGTTACCTGGAGTTGGGGAACATGGAATGGAAGCTTTCAAATGATCCCAAGGATGAATCTGTGCAGCCCAAGACCTTCCCTTACTGCAGTTTCCACCCTTACAGTTCTGAGAAGCAAAACACGGACTCCCAGACTCCGGTCTACCCCAAATTCCTGGTGTACTCCAAAGATGCTGCACCTTATCAACCTTGCTTCCATGTTCCAACCTGTCCCCAGAACTCAGTGGGTACTGTGCCTCCACCCTGCACTCTTTCTCTACCTCTCATTTCTCCCAGATCCTTTGTTCTTCATCAACACAGCAACCACCAGAAGCCCTCCACCTTAATACAGACCCCCAAATTTCCCCCAACCTCCAAGTCTCCTCAGTCTGTCCTCTCTTCCCAGGGTCCCATCCCTCCTCAGTTCTCCACTACTTCCCAAACCCCGAACCAGCCCCAGCCCCCTGAACTTAATGAGAATCTAGGCCTCAACCAAGACCATGGTCTCCAGAGGACCCCAGGCCCTTCAAAAGACACTAGAGTTTCCAGAAAGCCAGAGCTTACCCCGAATCCAAACCTTCACATGAACCCAGGCTTTACTCAAGACCCAGGCTTTCATAAGAGCCCAGGCCTTGCTCAAAATCCAGGCCTACACAGGTGTCCAGGCTTTACCCAAGACACAGGCCCACACAAGAGCCCAGGCTTTGCCCAAGACCCAGGCCTCCACAAGAGTCCAGGCCTTACTCAAAACCCAGGCCTCCACAAGAGCCCTGGCTTTACCCAAGACCCAGGCCTCCACAAGAGCCCAGGCCTTGCTCAAAACCCAGGCCTCCACAAGAGCCCAGGCTTTACCCAAGAACCTTATCTCTGCAAGAATCCAAGCCTTTCCCAAGACTCTGACTTTCACAAAGATTCAGTCATTACACAAGATTCTTGCTCCCAGAGTTTAAGTTCTACTCAAGAGAGAAGTTTACTTAGAAGCCCATATCTCACCCAACCTTCTGGTATCCACAAGAACACACCATTTCTTCAAACTTCTGACATTCAGAGAAGCTCGGGCTTTAGGCATGACTCTGGAGTCTGTAGAAATCTAGAACAAAACCAAGGGACTGTACTCTATAGAAGTCAAGAGCTCGCCCAAAAAACTGGCCTCCATAGTATCCCACACCCTTCTCAAGATGCTGGATGTTACAAGAGTACAGATAATGCCCAAGATCCAGGAGTCTCTAGGAGTCTAGGCTTTACCCAAGATTCTGAACCACAGAAGAGTCCATGCTTTGTCCAAGACTCTGGAATCAACAAGAACTCAGGCCTTACCCAGGAATCCGGTCCCCATAAGAACCCAGGCTTTGTGCAAACCCCTGGCCTCTATAAGGACTCAGGAGACTACAATAATCCAGGCCTTACTCATGATTCTGGAGTTTACAGGAGCCAAGATCTTACTCAAGATTCTGACTTCCATAAGAATCTGGGCCTTACCCAAGTCACCGAAGTCAAAAGATGTGACGTTCCCCAAGATGCTAGAGTTTACAGGAGCCCAGAACATTGTCACAACCCTAACCTCCACAAGTACCCAGGAGTTACTCAACATCCTGGCCCCCAGAAGACTCAGGACTTTATCAAGGGATCAGGCTTTGTCCCCAATCCTGTCCTCCACAAGAGCCTTCTGGGAACTGACTGTGTCCAAGTTTTGGGCCCACTTCAGACCCCAAAGTCATTTATATCTGAGAAGATTCCTCGAAGGCATGATGCTGGGCAGCATATTCCAGGGCCTTCTGTCCCACCTAGCCAGACCTCCTCCCCCGCCAAGGCCCAGGTGGTCTACAATGACCAACAAACCTTCTCAGAGGTGCCTATGCTGATAGAGCTGCAACCACCCTCCCGGCGAGCAGGCAGCCAAGACTGGGTGTACCGTCCCATGGACACAGCTCCTGCAGCCTCCCAGAGCTATCGCCAGATGTCTATGCCTCCCAAAACCAACTGGAAGCCCCACTGCCCAGGGTCAGGCACCCGGGTAGGGCATGTGGTCTTTGACGCCCGCCAGAGACAGTTGGGAGCAGGCAGGGACAAGTGCGAAGCGTTGTCTCCCAGGCGCCTTCACCGAGAGATATCCAACAACTCACCAGAGATGGCCAAGGCGTGGGGATATCAGTGTGTGATGAGAAACTTAGAAAAAGAGGGGACCAATGTGCATGAAGAATAAAAAGGCAAGAGAAGTGTTCTGTGGTTATTTGAGGCCATCCACCCCAACCCCACCCCTCAGGGGGGGGATAAGGAATGAAGCTTCCAGCTTTCCTGCTGTTGCTGTCTTACCTTAAGCTGTTATCCCCAAGGCCCTAGAGCTGCATTCTCCATTACAGTAGCCACTAGCCAAATATGCCTATTAGAATGTAAATGAGTTAAAATTAAGTAAAGTTAAAAAGTGTTCTCAGGGAGTTCTCTGGAGGTCCAGTGGTTAGGATTCAGCACTTTCACAGATGTGGCTGGGCTTCAATCCCTGGTCAGGAGTACTAAGATCCTGAAAGCTGCAAAGCACAGCCAAAAAAAAATCTGTTCCTCAGTCTCATGATCTAAGTGCTCAATAGCCACATGGAGCTACTGGCTACTGTATTGGACGGCACAGATTTAGAACATTTCCATCATCACAGAAAATGCTATTGGAGAGCAATGCTTTAGAGTTCAGGGTAACTTTCGTTTTCCTGTCAGCCATCCACAGCATAGGAGCTTTAAGATGGGCTTTCTTTGTGGCTCAGGTAGTAAAGAATCCACCTGCAATGTGGGAGACCTGGGTTTGATCCAAGTTGAGAAGATCCCCTGGAGAAGGGAAAGGCTACCCACTCCAGTATTCTGGCCTGGAGAATTCCATGGACTGTATAGTCCATAGGGTCGCAAAGAGTCAGACACAACTGAGCAACTGTCACTTTCACTTTCAGGGGGCTTTAAGAGGCCCAGAGAACTTAGTTCTTTTTAGGGTGGTTCAGAAGCCACCATCTAGGGAGGAGGTTAAGGTGTAGGAATGAATGCCCAACGCCTGATTTCCCCAGACTGTGAGAAAGAGCCCAGGCTTCAGTTTTCCTGATCTGGTCTCTTGGGTCACAATCTGTTGTATGGAAATTTGCCTTCCCGGTTCTTGGCTGCGTTTGGGGCTCTAGGTAACAGAGGAGAAGACCTCTCTTTGTCAGTGACTAGGAACCCCTGAATTTTAGGCTCCCCATATTGGGCCCTGGATTCTGAGGGTCCTCTCCTTTTGTTGTTCAGTTGCTAAAGTCATGTCTGACTCTTTGTGACCCCATGGACTACATCATGCCAGGCTTCCCTGTCCTTTACTATCTCCCAGAGTTTGCTCAAATTCATGTCCATTGAATTGCTGAACAGGCCTCTGATTTGTTCTAAGTGTCTCCACTTGCCCATTTTCTTGCCCATGGACTTAGCCCTGGTTCACTGTGGAGACAGACCCCTGGGAAAAAGGAATATAAGAATTCCTGGTCCATCATGCACTGGTCTAATCCGTGAGCTTGTCTCTGGTTTCCTATCTTTCTGCCCTATTATTCTGGCTCCTAGTTTCATCCCGGACTTAAGCTGTGTCCATGATAGCACAGGTCGCTGAAAGCAATTTTCTTCCCCTGATAATTTCTCATTGTCCTGCCCTAGCACACCTGTGAATTTCCTCTGGACTTGATTTTCAGCCCTGGTAACTTTTCTGTATACACACCTGAGCTGCGAAGTTTCAAAGTGTTTGCCCTGATACCATTCGTGTGTCTGAGGTGGCCATCACTAATATGTCCCTTTGGATGTCCATCCCTGGGTCATCACTACCTACGTGTTTTTTGTTTTTTTTTTACCTACGTGTTCTTGTCTAACATTATCACCACTGATTCCAAAGAGATCCATCCCAGTCGGGAAACCCCTTTCCAACACCTCTCTTGCTTGGCACTGACCTTGGACAAGTCATGTGGCACCTTCCTAGGCTAGCAAGTAATTGCATGCAAGGACTCTTCTAGATTTAAGTTACCAGGGCACCTCTACTCCCTCAGGCCCTAGGCTATGTGCCTCATTATCATTTGCTGTTTGGATCCATCCTATCACGTCTCTGTTCTAAGCCCAAGAACGTTTGCGATTGACCTGGCCTTGGAAAGACACACTATTATTTCCATAGAAACTACAACTTCCATCAGGCACTATTTCAACGGAACAGGAAAGGATCTGGGGCGTGGCCCTAATGCCCTGGTAGTTTGGAAGACCAAACTACAACTCCCAAGATAGCCAGGAGATCTCTGCAGAGCCAAAGGAGAGACTGAACTCTGACTGGAGGCCGGGCAGGTCCGGAACCACCTCCAGAAAGGGGCGTGGTTGTAATGTAGGGGCGTAGCCTTGTGAGCAGCAGGAAGAAGTTACCTGTTGAATCTTCCTATCCATTTTCTTCTCAGACCTTGCAGCTACCCCTAAGAGGGAAGCCGCAAACCACTATCCTCTTCCGAAAAAGAGGTAAGGGGAGGTAGACAGGGAGTGGCATTCCGTAGGAGGGGCCAAACTCACTTTTAACCTGCTAAGTCAGGTGAATCGGTCAATGGGGGTGGGGACTATGAGAAAAGGGCAAGGACGGAGAAGGTATTTATTTGTTTGTTTTCAAGACTAAATTTAGAGCCCTTCATCTGCAGACCCATTGGCAGATTGTGTCTTGGGCACCCTCTCGATCTCAGGAAGAGAAAAGAACAGAGGGGCGAGTTTTCCACAGCAGAAGGAACAACGCTTCTGGGCTTCCCCCTGTACGTGTATTTCCTAGCCCACAGACGATAGAGCCATATGGCTTCTGCAGTCTGGGGGAACGCTCCCTGGTGGGGCCCACCGCCCCCAGCCCCAGCCCGGCCACTCACAGACATCGACTTCTGCTCTGGAGCTCAGCTGCAAGAACTAACCCAGCTGATCCAGGAGCTGGGTGTGCAGGAGAGCTGGAGTGATGGGCCCAAGCCAGGACCAGATCTCCTCCAGGCCAAGGATTTTGTGTTCTCTTTGCTTGGTAAGTAACCCTCTTGCCACTCTCAGCTCCTCCCCACCCCATCCTGGGCTCTGGATCATGCCTTCACGATCCCTACTCTTCCCTTAGGTCTCATTCACCGCAGGGACCCTCGTTTTCCTCCCCAGACAGAGCTCCTGCTGCTTCGTGGTGGGATTCGAGAGGGCTCCCTGGATTTGGGGCCTGCGCCTCTAGGTCCCTACACTCGGGGACCTCACTACGATGCTGGCTTCACACTCCTGGTGCCCGTGTTTTCTCTAGATGGCATTGGGCAGGAGCTGCAACTGGACATGAGATCCTGTTACGCATGGCTCTGCCTCCCAGAGCAGGTACGCGGAACCTCGGTCCGGGAAGCATGGCAGGATTGCCTAGGACCCCCAGTCCCAGGAGGACGTGATTGGATCCACCCAACTGAAAGCAGAGAAAGTCCCCGGGACCCGCAGAGCTCCGTGGACCAGCCACACGGTGACATCACTGAGCCTGAGGCACACGAGTCTTTGGAAAAATCACCTAGTAATGTTTCAGTGCCAGAGTTATCCCGGCAAAACCTAACCGATATTGATTTTCCCTCACCATCGGAAGAAACAAATGATGACGTAACCAAAGCAGCCGATGTTAGCCCAGGGCCACAGCCGTCGGAGGCTCGGGAGACATGGCCCACACTGTGCCCCGCCCAGGTGGCTGCTTGGTTCTTTACTTCGCTGGCTGCTGTCGCTGAGTCCCTGTTCCCGGTCCCGGGTGCCCCCCGCTTGGTCCACGCAGCCCGCCACGCAGGGTTCACTACCATCCTCCTGGCTACGCCCGGGCCCCCGCGCCGCCTCCTGCTTTTCGACCTGATCCCCGTGGTGTCTGTGGCCGGCTGGCCCCAGGGGGCTCGGAGCCACTCGTGGGCCGGCCCGCTGGCCTCGGAGTCGTCCTCCTTCTATCTGGTGCCCGGCGGCGGCGGCCGAACCGAGCGGCCGGGCGCCTCCGGCTGGCAGCTCTGCTTCGCCCGCCAGGAGCTGGCGCTCAAGGCGCGCATACCCGCTCCGCTGCTGCAAGCGCACGCGGCGGCCCAGGCGCTCCTGCGCCCGCTGGTGGCGGGGACCCGGGCCACGGCGCCCTACCTCCTGCGGACGTTGCTCTACTGGGCGTGCGAGCGGCTGCCCGCGCTCTATCTGGCGCGACCCGAGAATGCGGGCGCCTGCTGCCTCGGGCTGCTGGATGAGCTGGGCCGAGTGCTCGAGGCAGGGACGCTGCCCCACTATTTTCTGAGTGGCCAAAAGCTCCGTGCGGGGGACGGCGCCGCTTCGCTGCTCGGGGCGTTGGCCATGCTTCGCGGGGACCCTGCTCGGGCCCTGCGCGCCGCTGTGGAGGAGGCCAAGGCTGCGCGTAAGGGGGGCGGCTTAGCCGGCGTGGGAGCCGGGTCCCATTAAAAACGCTGTTCGTACTAACGTGGAAAGTGCTTCTGTTGGCCAGCGGGGTGTGGAGGGGACTGCTCTCCCTTCACCTGGGAGACAGGCTGAACCCCTTGGGCCCGAAGAACCCGCGTTCTAGAAGGCCTCCTGGCTGGTTCCTCCCCATCCTCCCACCTTCCTCTCGCACCATCCCTGGCACAGGTCGTTCCATTCCGGCCTCTCCACCTTACACATCTGTGGCCAGCACCCTTCTTGCCCTGGTGCAACCTCTGGCATCCATCTCCCCCCAGCGCTTATGGTCTTTTCTCTTAGGGGTCAATGAGGGTAATATATTTGCTGAAAAAAGACGTGAAAAGGGGAGGTGTGGAGACCAGGGACTGACCAATTTGGTTCACACAAAGGCAGAGATAGTAAGGAGGCGGGATTTAACCCCAGGCTAGTCCTCGCCGCCACCTCTATCTTTTCAGTTACTCCCCCCAGTAGGGTCCCTTTCTCCATTCTCAAGGCGTCCACCATTCCATCTACCTAAGCCCAAGCTCTCCCCTTGTGAAGATTTGCCTTCTGTGGAGTCGCCTACTTGTCCCTCCTCCTCTGAACCCTGAGACAGGCGGCTCCGGCTGCCTCTAAGACCGTCCCCACTCCCTGCCTCCAAGGAACCCCGGGGTTCCGCCCGCCCAGCTTCCCCTTTTCCCGGCGTCTCCGCCCCCTGCCCCGCCCCCGGGCCGGCTCTCCGAGGAGGGGGAGCTGCTGTCGCCGCCGCCGCCGCCGCCTCAGCTTCCCACCGCCGCTACCGCTGCCGCCGCTGCGCTCTGTCCAGCCGCCAGGCCCAGGGCTCACTTCGCCGGACCAGGGCGCTCTGCGGAGACACCCTCTCCTTCCTGGGGTCTGGGACGCCTAGCCGGGCTTGGGGGGAAGCCCCGTTTGCGGGGTACAGGGAGGGAGGAGCCTGGAACCGGAGCCAGCGCCAGCCGTCGCCGGATTGACAAGACAGGACAGGTTGAGGGGCGTCGGGGAAGGAAGAGGGGGTGCTGTAGGCAGTCCCTGGGAGGAAGAGGAAGCCCTGTCGCAGAAAGCTGGGATGCGCTCTGACTTATAGGGGGTCTGTTCACATTTGGGGACCCGTGACACCGTTGGTGCACTCCTCTCTTGGGGGGCTGGTTGGATTGGAGGGCGTGGGATCTAAACAGTACCAGCTGTCCCCGAGGAAATTAAGGGGCTGCCAGGAAAAAAAAACACCCAAACCCCCAAAACCTATGCTCCTTATTCCGAGGTGACAGAGGGCCCTCCAGACAACCACCTGGTGTAACCACCAGGAAGGGCGGATTTGGAGGTGACTTCAAAAGGAGTGGAGGGTAACAAGGTGAGGAAAGGGGCTCAGCACCTGGAACCCTCTGCCACTAGAAATGGGGGTGACTTGGTAAATACTGGTATTGTCCAGAGGCAGGGTCTGGGAACCTCTGCTTGCTGAATGGGGACAGTCTGAATATCTCGAGACACAGTTTTGGGGGGATTTCAGTGAAAAAAGAGGGGGATTCTTTACTTAGAGGGTGGCAAAGGAAAAGGCACTAAGGTTGGGTTCTTCACTGACATTGGCAGCACCCCAGCAGGAGTGGGGCGAGCTAATGGACCCACACCCTTAAGATTATAAGAGTGGCTTTGTCAGGAACACGGGGGCCTGGAAATAGGGTGGAAAGGTGCCTGGGGATATTGGAACCACATCTTGGAAAATCTGAGGGTCTTGCATTTGGGATAAGGTTACTGGGGGACAGGGACACTGGAGACTAGAAAAGGGAAGAGTTTTCTGTAGGGGGCAAAAGTCGAGGGTGGGGTCCATTGAGAGGTACATAGGCTGCTGGATCCCACGAAGCTGGTGGGAGACCCAAGGGTGGGAGCTGGCGCCTGGGGTGGGGGTCCTCTAGGGTTTATCCTCAGGTCCTGCGGGTAGGGCAATGAATCGGGACCGGAGCGTCCAGAGCATGTCCTGGTGAGCGAGCGGGCTTCTCTGGGGGTGGGGGTGCTCAGCGCGCTCCAGGCGCCTGCCGGTTTGGGGGTGTCTCCTCCCGGGGCGCCATGGCGGCACTGGCCAGTAGCCTGATCCGGCAGAAGCGGGAGGTCCGCGAGCCCGGGGGCAGCCGGCCCGTGTCGGCGCAGCGGCGCGTGTGTCCCCGCGGCACCAAGTCCCTTTGCCAGAAGCAGCTGCTCATCCTGCTGTCCAAGGTGCGACTGTGCGGGGGGCGGCCCGCGCGGACAGACCGCGGCCCGGGTGAGTGGTTGGGGCGGGGGTCACCGGGCCTGGGGTCTCTCTGCCTGGGAGGTTGAGGCCAGGGACTCCCGAAGAGCGGGGCCTGACCGAAGTGGGGGAGCTCCCCGAAAATGAAAGGGGGTGGGCCCGGGCCACCAACTCTCAGCCAGACGATGCCTCAGTTTCCCTTCTCTTTCGCCCGTAACCCCGAGTCTCCTTGCTTTCGAGGGCAAGGGGAAGGCATGAGGGGCTAAGCCGGGTGCCCCGAAGCTTGACAACTCCCGCTTGCCGCCCCCCACCCCCAACACGAGTCCCCACCCCCACCATCCTCCGCCTACGTGCCGGCTCTCGCGATTCTTTCAATCCCGAGTGGAGGGGCCTGGGGGTTCCGGACGCCTCGGTCACCCCGAGGGTTTCTGCGGCTCCGGCAGCCCCGCCCCCGCCCCGGTGCTCCCGCTTCTCCGAGCTTTGGCTCAGTTCCTCCTTGGCCGAGCTTGCCTGGCTCGGCGCCAATCTCCCCAGCTCTCCCCCCGGTGTCCTTGCAGCTACCTCTCCAGCCCGCCCCTCTGTGCGCCCTCCTCCCGTGACCTGCGCTCCAAGAAAGGAGCTGGACACCCCCCGGTGACCCCCTACGCGACTCCGAAATCGGGCCTCACGGGCTCAGGGGACCCTCTGCTATGAGGAACTCAGACACAGTACATGGCTGGAGACCCGCACGGAGACTGAGGGTCGTACCACTACGAGGGGGTACCGGGAAGTCGGCCGGGAGCAAGCCTCGGGGGACGAGAGTTGTGAGGGTTGGCGTGTGGTCCCCGTCCAGGTGCGACAGTCAGGGAGTCCCTCTGCCTCTCTCTCCCCCGCTCCCAGCTCCCCTAGGGAGAGACCGCCCCCCCAGCGGCGTCCTTTTCCCCCTCTCCGCCGGGGCCCTCCGTAGTGGTACGGTCCGCAGCCCACCCTTTGAGTGGGACCCGGTCCCCACGTGACTCAGCCTGCCTCACCAGCTCCCCGGCCCCCTCCCCCAGTTCCTTGGTGTGGTACCGAATGTCCCCCATCCCAGGTGGGTTACCTGGCTGAAGGGGAGAGGCTGAGCCTCAAGGAGGGCTGGGCCCCCGCGAGCCAGTAGACTGACAGACAGACAGACAGACAGACAGACAGACAGACAGATGGGTCAGTGTCAGACAGGCCGGCGCTGGGCCAAGGGGAGGCCCGCGCCAAGCAAGCGGCAGCCGCAGCAGCAGGTGCTGAGTCAGCGTCAGACCCAGTCCCACCCCCATCCCTGAGGAGGCGCCCCTACCCTGTGGTCACCTTACTGCCCCCACACTCGCACACACACTGCCCTTTCAGCAGGCCTGCCGGTCTCCCTCTGTCCTCTGCCTTTCTATGTTTCTCTGCCCTCCTCTTCCCTCTTCTCCCCTCCCCCCCTTCTGGTTGAGCTGTAGGGTAGGAATTAAGCCTTTAAATAAATTTCAATAAATTAAACTGAAAGCTGGTTAGAGGCAGCAGAAGGGACCCACACCCCAGCTTCCTCTGGCGTCTCAGAGAGGTGGGAAAGAGCTTGCTGGGAGGGCCCTGGGACCGACCCTCTTCCTTCTCTCCATTCTCTTTTTCTTTCTCTCCTCTGATCCCCGCCAAGTGTAGGAATGTTTCTGGGAACAGAGATGTCATGTTCCAAGATGAATATCTCTCTCTCCAGAACCTCAGCTCAAAGGCATCGTCACCAAACTGTTCTGCCGCCAGGGTTTCTACCTCCAGGCGAATCCCGACGGGAGCATCCAGGGCACCCCAGAGGACACCAGCTCTTTCAGTGAGAGGGGAAGCCAGCTGCCTGGTGGGAAGGGGGAGAGTGGGCACAGGCCATGATAATCCTATTCCTGCTTCAAGATCCATTGGCTCTTTGACTCCCAAGGGAAGAGCTGGAACTGGAATGGGTGTGTGTGTGTGTGTGTGTGTGTGTGTGCGCTCAGATAGGAGTTGGAGGCCTGGGGTACTGATGCTCCCTCTCTCTACCCCCAGCCCACTTCAACCTGATCCCTGTGGGGCTTCGAGTAGTCACCATCCAGAGTGCCAAGCTGGGTCACTACATGGCCATGAATGCTGAGGGGCTGCTCTACAGCTCGGTGAGACAAGGGGGTGGAGTGGCCTGGGGTCTGGGGACTCCTCTAGGACAGACTTCCCAACTACAGGTATTTTGCAGCTCAGGGCTCCCTCTCCCTCCAGCTCTTGCCAACACCCTGTCCTCATTGCCCGCTTGGGAGCACCTACTCTAGAGTCCCTTTAATCTCTCCTCTTCGAACAGCCCCCCACATGCCCCCAGGCTCTTTGAATGTCCAACTCCTTCAGCCTCTTAGGATCCCTGTGTCTTCTCCTACCTCCTCGAGACTTCATTATTACTCACTATCTCAGAGTCATCTGGGATATTGGGAAAGGATTCTGGAATTCCTCCAAACAGGAATTTCCTCCAGGTCCCCTGGATGGTGGGAGGTTGGGAGTAGAGAGAATGTATCTTCTTATTCCAGGCCCCCAGAAGTCTAGTTCCTGGCCTTTGGGGGCCACCAGTTTCTTTCTCACCCTCCTTTGTCCCAGTTCCTGCATGGACTCAGCAGTTGGTTCTCCTCGCCTCAGATGTATTGATTGCATCCTGCCTTGTTCTTCCCGGGGCTCCCTTCCAGTCCAGTGATGTGTCTTTGTCTGTCTGTGTGTGCCTTTCTGGGTCTTTGTCTCCTCAGCCGCATTTCACAGCTGAGTGTCGCTTTAAGGAGTGCGTCTTTGAGAATTACTATGTCCTGTACGCCTCTGCTCTCTATCGCCAGCGCCGTTCTGGACGGGCCTGGTACCTGGGCCTGGATAAGGAGGGCCGAGTCATGAAAGGAAATCGAGTCAAGAAGACCAAGGCAGCTGCCCACTTTGTGCCCAAGCTCCTGGAGGGTGAGTATGGACCCTCTGGGAAGAGGCAGGCCACATGGGAGGGTATTGACCTTGACATGGACATTAAATGACATACAGCTCAGGGGTTGTAAGTGCTTTAAGAAGACACCTGTTATGACAGGCCAAGTCAGGAAGACTTTGACCTTGAGGGATTGGGGGAGATCTTTTGTGGGTTGGGGTTCCCAGAGGCTGCATGGAGGGGAAGGGAGCCTATTCAGAGCTCTCTGGGTGCCTATTCAGAGCTCTCTGGGTGCCTAACTCTCCTTCCTGCTCCTCTCTCCCCCCTTCACAGTGGCCATGTACCGGGAGCCTTCTCTCCACAGTGTCCCTGAGACCTCCCCTTCCAGTCCCCCTGCCCCCTGAAATGTCATCCCTGGATTGGAGGCTCCCTGCACTCTCACGGAGCCAGCCACCACCACAGCCTGTCTCCCAGCCCTGCTCCCGGCCCTGCTCTCACCGCCGCTGCCACACGCATGCCCTGTGCAGCCAGGTCCCACCAGGTGCTCTGCCCCGAGGGAGCCTAGGGGCCACTGTGACTTCTGGGCCTGCTGAGACACCCAGACTCTTAGGCCCAGGGTGGGGAGTCAGAGAGGAAGATGTCTGGAAATGGTCCTGGCTGATCACTTCTTTCCTTCCATGCTCACACCCTCCAAAGCCTTTTTCTGAGATGGCGCTGGGGGTTCCAGAACTGACAGAACCAGGGCATAAATCCTCCCCATACCAGGCTCAGCCAGTTCCTGGAGCCCTTTGACCTTTTCATTACCACTGAGCCATAGATCTGTGGGTCCACTGGCGCTCAGGATCCTTCCTTCTTTGTCTACTCCACCTTCTGCCTTGCTCCAGGTTCTGGAACACAAGGCACCCTAGCCAGGACCACTTCTGCACTCAGGCTCTGTGCTGGAACACAGGCATGCTGCCAGGCTCTGTTCTGGATCCATCAGGCTTCTGTCCTTGACCCAGATGGACCCCTGACTTCAAAGTAGAGAGAGGCTGGATTTGAGCCCTGTCCAGCTGTTGGCCTTGGCCTGAACTGGGACCAGTCTTAGATCACCACAGTTTGAACTTTCTTATCCCAGAGACACCCAATTCTAGAGCATGGTGTTCTAGACATATACGGAGCCATACTTCCTTCTGAATCTTAGCTCTAGTACATAGACCAGGGCTCTCAGTCCTTCCCTTCAGGATGGAGCGAGGGCCTATATAGCCATATTATTGCTCTAGAGTAAGTTCTAGACCCACGCTCCCACCTTCTCTAGTGATACCTGTTAAGCATGAGCTCTAGAAAGGACCCAGCTATGATTCACAAAAAACTAAGTTCCAGATGGATCAAAAACCACTTCTTGTTTTTCCTAGATAATTTTCTAAAACTCTTAGTCTTCCTGTAGAATGCTAACCTTATTTTTACGTGCAATTTCTAGTTCCTGCAGCTCAGCTGGGGTCCTGTCGGGAAACAGAGTCTGAGGAAGGGCAAAGGAGTTTTGGAAGGAATCCCTGGCTCATAGTAGGGCAGCTAGGATGGGGAAGGGACCAGAACCATGGCATGATTGGACCTGTGCCTGGGTTGAGGCGACATGAACACGTAGCTACCTCAGCAGGAATTCCTTCCAGGTCCCCTTTAACACTGAGGTCTTTAGGATAATAGGTCTGGAATAAAAAAGACAAATGCGACATAGCCTTGACTCCCACCCACCCACAATGAGGAGACTCCAGTTCAGCAATAAGCCCCACCCTTCTCCCCTACAGATCAGGCTAAGGAGGGTGAGGGTCTCTTGGGTTCTAAACCTCATACACCCCCACAAGCTTCTAACTGAATAAAACTTGCTTTACCTTAGAGCTTATAACCTCAGCTGGGTTTTAGGTACCCCAAAAGGGCCTGACTAGATTTTTCTGAAAAAATGCAGAGAGCTCGGGGCAGGCCTGAAAAAGATCAGCCCATCAGTGAACTGGGAGGGATACTCTGGGTGGTGACAGATTTGGGCAGAGTAGACTGAGGAGGCACTAAAAGGGGGGGGGGGGGGGGCGGTACTAGGGCTCAGAAGCAGGCTGTGTTTCCTCAGGCTCTTTTTTACTTCTGGCTTGTCCTAAGAGGGGTGGATGCTCCCCTCACCCACACAGACCCCGCTCAGGCTCCACCCATCTCCTGGCTCTGCTCCCAGGGAACCAGGTCTCTGCTCCACGCTTTCTCAATTAAAGACGATTTATACAACTGAAGTGTTGTCTGTCATCTGTGGGTGGCAGGCTTTGGCAGTTGCTCGGGGCGGGATCAAGTCCCAGGGGCGGGGCGGGTGGGCTGGCGGCTGCCCCCCAATAACAGGTGCACATTCCTGGGCGCCTCGTCACTTCCCCTGCGCTGGCTGTCCTGGCGACTCACCCAGCGGACTCACTGAGCGAACGGCCGGGCTATGACACCAGGGGCGCTGCTTCTGCTTCTGTTGGGGGTGCTGGGGGCGCAGCTCGCCCCGGGTAAGTGTGGGCCTCAAAGGGGCAGCGATAGGGCCAGAGGTCGTGGCCGGGCACCAAGGCTTCATTCAGTTCTTTCCTCCTCCAGGCGCCCGCGGCTCGGAGGCGGAGGGCCGACTCCGCGAGAAACTTTTCTCAGGCTATGATAGTACGGTGCGGCCGGCGCAGGAGGTGGGAGACCGTGTCTGGGTCAGCATTGGTCTCACCCTGGCGCAACTCATCAGCCTGGTGAGGGCGCACGCGGGGAGTTGCGTCCGGCCCACTAGGCGACTAGGGGCGTGGCTTTAGGCACAGCGGGACCCAGGGACCACTGGGGGAGGGGTCCGGGGCGAAGCCAGACTAGGAGACTGACGGGGTATTAGAGCAGGTTGGGTCGAAACCGGACCAATGGACAGGCTGTGGGCGTGGCTGCTGGACCTGCCGGGGTAGAGCCGGGTAAGATGATGAATAGGCCTGTGGGCGGATCTTGAAGTGGAGCTGGGGGCTGCTGGACCGGCCGGAGGGCGGGTCCTGAGGCGGGGTCACAGGCTGGGGCGGAGCTTGATGCTGGACAGAGTTAATAAACAGCAGATGGAGCTTCAGTCTGGTCCGGGTCGGGACTGGTAAATGAATTGGCTGGGCTTAAGGACCGCAGGAAGTTTGCGAGATAGAAGCCGGGTTTAAATCCACGCAGCTTATAGGAGATGGGGCTTGAACCCAAGAGGGTGCGACTCGGAAAAAGAAGGGAGTTTCCAGGGGGAGTTTGACCTACCGAGCCCCTTATTTCTCTACACTCAGCATCATGAGTGAGTGAGAGAAGTCGCTCAGTCGTGTCCGACTCTTTGCAACCCCATGGACTGTAGCCTACCAGGCTCCTCTGTCCATGGGATTCTCCAGGCAAGAATACTGGAGTGGGTTGCCATTTCCTTCTCCAGGGGATCTTCCCGACCCAGGGATCGAACCCAGGTCTCCCGCATTGCAGGCAGACGCTTTAACCTCTGAGACATCATATCTACCCTTAAAACTTTTCCCTTCTAGAACGAGAAGGATGAGGAGATGAGCACAAAAGTCTACTTAGACCTGGTACGGAGACCCCCACAGGGTGGGAAACCTCATCTCACAGGGATCGCTGCCTTTACAATTTCCTCGAATGTCCCGCCCAATAAGAATTTTTTGCATCATGACCTCAGAAAATACATTTATAACTGAAACAGAAGCTTCAGAAAAGAATTTAAACCCTGGTTTGGGGCCACTTATGTGATTCCTGACCCATTAAAAGGGTCGCTAATTGCGGTTTGAAAATCACTGTTTTAGAGATTAGCTCGTCAACCCCCTCGTTTTTACAAAATGGAAAAACTGAGCCCGATGCGAGGGAAGGAAAACTAGTTGATGGGGGTCCCAAAGAGTGCACGTTGAACCGGAATCAGAGCCCAGGCCTCCAGAAACACAGCCCATGCCTGCGCGGCTCTCCTCCCTTGCATTCCCTGCCCGGGCTTCCTGTGCACATCCCAAGGCTCCTCCCAGCCTCCAACCCCAGACGGCCCCTCAGCCTCTGCCTCCCTAGGAATGGACTGACTACAGGCTCAGCTGGGACCCTGAGGAGCACGAGGGCATCGATTCACTCCGCATCTCAGCGGAATCCGTGTGGCTACCCGACGTGGTGCTCCTAAACAAGTAGGATGTTCCCAAAGTCTGGGAGACCGGGCAGGGCCTCCGGAGAGGCGCAGCCTCCGGAGGGTGGGGCCTGATCCGAGTTGATTTTATTCTTTTCCTGCAGTAACGACGGGAATTTTGATGTTGCTCTGGACATCAGCGTCGTGGTGTCCTCCGACGGCTCCGTGCGCTGGCAGCCCCCGGGCATCTATCGCAGCAGTTGCAGCATCCAGGTCTCCCGGCTCCACCTGGGAAGCTCAAAGCGCTCGTAGAAACCCTCCCTCAGACCTACTCCTCCATTATCCTCATGACTTTCACATCCCTCTTACCCTCCGTTGAGTTTCCTCTTCTCTGTCCACTTTCATTGACTTCCAGTCTTCCTTAACCCTTCCTCCAATGTCCATGGCCTCCCCAAACAACCTTCTGATTTCTCTATGACTCCACTTCTAGGTGATCTCCCTTGGTGGTCTCTAGCTCCTGAGGGGCCGTATCCTCTGACCCCTGTCTGCCCTGTGACCTCCCCAACTCCCCCAGCCCCAGCCAGCTCTCTGGCAGCTCTAGTGACTCTCCATTCCATCCAGGTCACCTACTTCCCTTTTGACTGGCAGAACTGCACCATGGTATTCAGTTCCTATAGCTATGACAGCTCAGAGGTCAGCCTGCAAACTGGCTTGAGTCCTGAGGGACAGGAGCGGCAGGAAGTGTATATTCATGAAGGGACCTTTATTGGTGAGTGGGCATGACTCCCACGTCCATGGGCTTTATGATTTCCAGTTTTTAACAGGCTGATAAACATACTCCATCAATGAGTCCCTGTGAGGTCAGCAAGATAGATATAGCTATCTATATTTTGTGGGTATGGAAATTGAGACTCATTTAAATAGAGATGGGCTGTCCAACCCAGGGTCTATAGCTAGTCTCTTATTGCCCTTTATTATATCGGTCTCCTCTGCTCTAGGATGTGGTGGAGAAAGCCATATCTGGGAATTCCCTGGCAGTCTAGTAGTTAGGACTCTGTGATTTCACTGCTGAGGGACCAGGTTCAATCCCTTGCTGGGGAACTAAGATCCCACAAGCAGCATGGAGCAGCCAAAAGAAAAAGAAAGAAAAAAAAAAGCCATATCTGGCACCAACAAAGACATGTCCCATATCTGTCACCTCTCTTCTCCCCCCTCACCCCACCAAGAGAATGGCCAATGGGAGATTATCCACAAGCCTTCTCGGCTAATCCAGCCTCCAGTGGATCCTAGGGGAGGTGGGGAAGGACGACGTGAAGAAGTCACCTTCTACCTCATTATTCGCCGGAAGCCTCTCTTTTACCTGGTCAACGTCATTGCCCCATGCATCCTCATCACTCTCCTGGCCATCTTCGTCTTCTACCTGCCACCGGATGCAGGTAAGGGGGGGGGAGCCCCAGCTCTCTTACTTACCAGTAGCTCAGCTTCTTCCTCTTCACCCATAATACAGAGAAGGTTTTCCTGCCAACTCAGGCCATCAGGAGTTGTGCTTCAGCAATCTTACCCAGGTTTTCCCTTCAGGAAGAGCCCTTGCATCTGCATTCAGGTTTCCCCTCCAACTTCAAGTGCTATCTCCCCTCTGCTGCTCATTTCTCTGCACCCAGTAACTTCTGAACTCTTCCCTTCAGAATCCTAGGATCTCATCCCTGGAACTGCCAATCCTCTGACCTGCAAGCTCCCAGGCTTAGATAACTGTTCCTTTCCTTTTTCCCATTGTTGGCATCCTCTGTCCCCTCACTTGTCAGATGCCTACTAGTCCCTTAACCTCCCATCTCCCTAGAAAATAATATCCAACAGTTCTCTGGGATACAGCACAAAGTGCTAACGGAGTAACCTCGGGCAACTTCCTTAATCTCTTAGTGTCCTGATCTGGAAATAGGACACCCACTGTCCCTATCACGTAGGACTATTTTGAGGATTAACTGAGTTAAGAGAACTATGCAGGGTACTCTGTAAACTTTGTGTAAGTGTATGTAATTTGCTAATTTTGAGCACTTGCTATGAGATAATACAAATAATATGTTACATGTGTGCATGCGTGCAAAATCACCTCAGTTGTGTTTGACTCTTTGTGACCCTATGGACTGTAGCCCACCTGTCCAGGCTCCTCTGTCCATGGGATTCATATATTAACTCAATTCTAATCTTCACAACTCTGTGAGGTAGGTGCTGAACTGTCTTCCTGTTTCACAGAGGAGGATAAAGAGGCTAGGAGAGTTTGTCATTCAGCTGACCTTATATAGAGAGAGGCGGTGTCACTATTCCAACCCTGGTTAGTGCCACTCTGATTCAGAGAATGATGTCCTAAACTCTGGTATTCAAAACATGCTTTTCCCGAGAGTTCTCTGGTGGCCTAGTGGTTAAGATTCTGGGCTTTCACTGCTGTGGCCCCAAAAACAAAGCAAACGAAAAACCCATGCTTTCCTTCTCTCTGGAATCAAGTCCTCTCTAAGGGAAGGAGAGTGATGAAGCTCTAGAAACACTTTCACATGTAACTTTTCCTTCTTCTTGGAGCAAGGCAAATCTTGGAAACCAATATTATAGAACCAAACTAGAACAGACCACAAATGTTATTTATTTCAATATCTTCCCTGAAGTTCGCAGTACCTGTTGTATGTCACAGGAATAACCAGCCACCTGGCATATTCTTATATATTTTTAGATCCTTCAATTTGCTATATAGTTTGTGCTACAGGGGTTGTCTATTAATTCATGTAACAATATTTGTTGAGTATCTGTAATGTGCAAGACACTGGGAATACATCAGTGAATAAAACAGACAAAAATCCCTACTCTCATGGAATTTATTTTAGTGGAGGAGACAGTCTAAGCATAATAAATAAATAAATAATAAATTAAACAGTATAGTGGATGGAGAAGGAAATGGCAACCCACTCCAGTATTCTTGCCTGGAAAAATCCATGGACAGAGGAGTCTGATGGGCTGAAGTCCATGGGATTACATGACTGAGCATGTGTGCACGAGGGTGGAGGGAGATGGGTTGGTAGCAATAAACTGGTAGAACTAAAAAAAAAAAAAAAAAGTTGCCCAGAGAGACTTCCCTGGTGATCCAGTGGTTAAGAGTCTGCCTTGCAATGCAGCAGGGACGTGGGTTCCATCCGTGGTGGTAGAACTAAGATCCCACATGCCTCGGAGCAACTAAACCCAAGTGCTGCAACTACTGAGCCCATGCACCACAATTAGAGAATTCCTGCATCACAAGGAAAGATTCCACATGATGCAGCAAATATCCCTCATGCCACAATTAAGACCTGATTCAGCCAAATAAATAAATTTTTTTAAAAAGCTGAAAAAAAAAAAACAGTATAGTGGAAGAGGTCAAAGGACTTCCCTAGTGGTCCAGAAGCTAAGATTCTGACCTCTCAGTGTAGGGGGCCCAGGTTTGATACTTGGTTGGGGAACTAGATCCCACATGCTGCAAATAAGAGTTCACATTCCACAATTAAAGATCCCTCATGGTGCAACTAAAAATTTCCACATGCCACAGCAAAGATCAAAGATCACTCATGCTGCAACTAAAACCCAGTGCAGCCAAATTAATAAATATAAAAAAAGAAAAAGAAGAAAAGAGGTCAAGTCCTAAGAAGAAAAATGAAGTAGGAGAAGGGTTTGGGGAGGATGAGGATGGGAGTATGGGATGCAGTTTATTTATTTATTAAAAAAATTTTATTGAAGTATAGTTGATTTACAATGTTGTGTTTAATTTCTGTTGTACAGCAAAGTGACTCAGTTATACATATGTATATTCTTTTTCATATTCTTTTCATTATGGTTTATCACAGGGGTTGCAATTTAAAAATAGGCTGGTCAGTGAAAGTCTCGCTAAAAAGGGGATATCTGATCAATATTAGAACAAAAACTTGAAGGAAGTGAGAGAATGACTGTGGTAGATATCTGAGGGAGGAAATTACCAGGAGGAGTTAACAGTGAATGTGAAGACCCTGAGGTGGGAGTATGCCTTGCATATTCAAGAAATAGCCAATGTAACTGAATCAAGTTAGTAAGAGAGAAAACAGTAGGAGATGAAGTCAGAGAGTTCATGGGAAGACCTTGCTGCAGTAAGGACTTTGGCTTTTATTCTAAAGGAGATGGGAAGCTACTGGAGTGTTATGATCTGGTTTACATCTTAAAGGGATCCGTCTGGATGCTCTGTTGAGAACAGTCAGCAGGGGGCAAGGATGAAGCAAAGAGGAGGCCTTTATAAAAACTCAGACCCGAGGTAATGGTGACTTGTACCAATAAGGTTTGATATGGATTGGATATGGGATGAGAGGGACAAGAGCAGAAAATGACTGAAAGGATTTGGCTTGAGCCACAGGAAAGATGGAGTTGTCATTTATGAAATGTAGAAGACTGTGGGGAGAGTTGGCAGTGAGGGAATTAAGTATTGGACATGTTAAGTCTGAGATGTTGGTTGGACACCCAAATGGAGGGGTTAAGAAGGCAAGCGTGGAATTTAGGGGAATCAGTCCAGGTTGGAGGCTTAAATGCAGGAGTCATTTGCTTGCAGTTGGCCCTTCCAAAACCCTGTCTGAGTGGGCTGGAAACATGGTCACTGATTATGTCAGGGAGATCTTCTGGCAAAGCCTAACTCTTCCACCTTCCCTTCTGTCCCCCAAGGAGAGAAGATGGGGCTCTCCATCTTTGCCCTGTTGACCCTCACTGTGTTCCTGCTGCTGCTGGCAGACAAAGTACCTGAGACCTCCCTGTCTGTCCCCATCATTATCAAGTACCTCATGTTTACCATGGTCCTCGTCACCTTCTCAGTCATCCTTAGTGTTGTGGTCCTCAACTTGCACCATCGCTCACCCCACACCCATGAAATGCCCCTTTGGGTTCGTCAGGTAAGAAGACCTCCTCCTTCAACCTGTGTTAACTCTCAATCCTAGTATTTGGATTTTTGTCCAGGCTTTGCTCCTCTCTCCCATCAGCTTCAACCTTCCCTTTCACAGACCTGAGAAAGACTACAACTTCAACTCCTGGTAGAGTGTCCAAGTGCCAGGGTCTTTGGGTGTTGAAATGTTGCACAGTTAATTTTATCCTCACGTTATTAACGCTGCCTGGATTCCAGACTCTCTTCATCAATACTGCCCTTTGTGGGTTGGGTCCCATGGAAGCATTCCAAGGTCTAGGTACTATCAGGGTGGGAGCCCTTAGAACTTTTCTTTCCAGTCAGGATGTATCCTAACCCACTTAAGAACTGGGCCCTGTGGGACTCAGGCACGCTTGGCAGGAGTGGGCACGTGCCAGGGAAGTGGTTTGCGGCTTCTCTTCTGGTCTCAAGGCCTGAGAACCCCCGCCAACACGCCTGTTCATCTGCAGATCTTCATCCACAAACTCCCTCTGTACTTGGGTCTGAAGAGGCCCAAACCTGAGAGACATCAGATGCTGGAGCCACCTTCCATAGCTCTCAGGGATTCTCCAGGAAGTGGCTGGGGCCGGGGAACAGATGAATATTTCATCCGCAAGCCACCAAATGATTTTCTCTTCCCCAAACCCAACAGGTAATACCTACTCTCCATCGCCCACATAAAAGGGAGAGGGACAACTACAATTCCCAGAAGACTGTGCGGTGGCAGGCGGCCTAAGCTCCCGGAGGTTGTGGTTGAGCATCATGGGAGTTGTAGTACCCCTTCTGTTGCCCACTTTGTGGAGAGGTGGGAAGTAAAAAGCCAAAGAGCTTAGAAAAAATTGCAGGTTAGACAGGTCGACGCCATCGGCGAGAACCTGAGGGGCCCTCTCAGGGTTTTGAAACCCGGACTTGCGTTGGAGGAGGGAATTGGGGCAGGGGCTAGAGCACCCGCCCAGGCTGTCTTTGCTCCTTGGGCGTGGCCAAACAGTCCCGCCTCTTCCAGGTTCCAGCCTGAACTGTCTGCTCCGGACTTGCGGCGATTTATCGATGGTCCAAACCGGGCTGTGGGTCTCCCTCCTGAGCTACGGGAGGTCGTTTCTTCGATCAGCTACATCGCTCGACAGCTGCAGGAACAGGAGGACCATGACGCGGTATGTCCACTGAGGGTGGACCAGGGCAAGGCCTGGGTGGCCTTGGCTCCACCCGCAAACTCAGGCTCCGCCCCCAGCACTCGGTTTTATTTTTATTTTTTAAATTATTTATTTGGCTATGTCGGGTCTTAGTTGTGGCATATCGGAGAAGGCAATGGCAACCCACTCCAGTACTCTTGCCTGGAGAATCCCAGGGATGGGGGAGCCCGGTGGGCTGTCTTCTATGGGGTCGCAGAGTCGGACACGACTGAAGCGACTTAGCAGCAGCAGCAGCAGTTGTGACATATAGGATCTTTGGTTGTGGCATGTGGGATTTAGTTCCCTGACCAGGGCATGAACCCGAGCCACTTGCATTGGGAGCGTGGTGTCTTAGCCACTGGACCAGCGGGGAAGTCCCTCGGTTTTATTTCTGAGTGGAAGTTTGCCTCACTTGATCCTGTCTTTACATTCTTACTTGTTCTTGATTCACATCCATCACCTATGGTGGCTCTCTGCTATTCTGAGGCCGGCCCTTGTCTCAAAGCTGTGGTGGGAGGACCTGGATGGGGTACAGGGCCTTGGGGCAGCCTTTCCTGGGGGTCCGGACTCAGGAACAGTTTCCTCTGCCTAACCCCAGCTGAAGGAGGACTGGCAATTTGTGGCCATGGTAGTGGACCGCCTCTTCCTATGGACCTTCATCATCTTCACAAGCGTTGGAACCCTCGTCATCTTTCTGGACGCCACATACCACTTGCCCCCTGCTGACCCTTTTCCTTGAGGCTGGGAGGAGGGTGGACAGATCCTTGGCCAGGTGAATTGAGAGTTTGGCAGTGCTGTCAAGCCCTATACCTTTCTGCATCTTAACTCCATCACTAGAGTCCAGTTCTCTCATCATTTCGTTTCTAAGGAGGGAGCCTAAATGGGACTAGGCATTTGGGGGGACTTGGGCCCACCTGAAATGCACTGTTTATTTACTCTTTAGCTTCTTGAGGAAGCTCCATTGGATGTTAACACCTATGCTGGCACTGAATGAAACAAACAACAAGAACTAGACTGTATACCTTCTTAGGGCAGGAACTCTGTCTTGTTCACTGTAATATCCCTGGCACCTAGCACAGATCCTAACCTATATAACAGGTACCTCTGGTTGAATGAATAGGGAAATTTTTTTTCTGTGAGGAAATACACTAAGTAGTAGTGCTGATGTTTGCATGTTGGGACTAGTGGTCATTTTTTGTTTTTGCCTTTCTGCAGTTTATCATATTTTATAATATGTATTATCTTTAGGATTAAAAAAATGGTTATTTCTAAAAAGATGCATTTGTAATGAGGATAAAAAGCACACTTTTAAAACTTCAAGTTCCAGCTTTGGTGCTCAAACTTTGGACAGCTACTAAACTGTTCTGTGCCTCAATTTCCCCATCTGTAAAATGAAGCTAATATTAATAGTATTTAGAATCTGCCCCCTAGACTGAGCATCATATAAGAAGAGAAAACATTATACAATATACATCAGAGTTACACAGTGAAATGTTTTGTTTGGCCCATGTTGTTGGCCAAAATTTAAAATCTGATTTGCTACTTTTAAAATGTAAAAAAAAAAAAAAAAAAGACTCTCCTTTGGGATCGGCCGGCCTTCACGCCTCAAGGGTGTACTAGCCTTTGTTGACCAAATAAAACTCTGAGCTGTAAAAAAAATAATAAATAAATAAAAATGTGGACATTTCAGAGAAATTTGGATTTCTGGCTTCTCTTGAAAATTTTGTAAGGTCTACAGTAACACCAGATCTGATTCCCCTGTTGGCAGCAACCTGCTAGAGCTGATTTGTGGCTGCCCACTCTGGTCAAGGTATTTGTATCAGAATTCCTCAAAGCCCCCACCCACCTAACCATTCCTTTACCTTGCCCATCCCTGAGTAACACTAGACAAAATACAGGGGAAGGACAGGGGATGAGGAGTTGAGCTCGTGGGAGGCCAGGAGTGGAACAAGAAAAGTGTCACTTATGGCCGTCACACATTTTGTGCCTCAGTTTCCTTTCAGTTTGGAGAAAAGGCTATACCTGGTTGGAGGCATGGCCCTTCTGGGACACGAAGATCATGTGCCCAGCAGGCTGTGTGAACTGGACTGTGTTAATGTTTCTGCCTGGAGGTCAGAGCAAAGTCAGCTTGAGCCTAGTGGCTGCAGCAATTACAGTGAAGTACCTAGGGTCAACAGGCTCTCACACCTACTCAGTTGCTGGAAGTTCTTGTCCTAAAGAGGGAAAACAGGGCTAACCTCGTAGGGATCCCTGTGAGATGAGGTTTGCATATCCCTGTCCAGCCAGACCCACCAGCCACGCCAATAATTGCACCTGGCATCCCACTGCGGAGCACGATTCGTTTGTCTTGTTGGTTTATTGGCCTAGAGAGTTGGACACACACACAAATGCGGAGATAAATATTGGTCAGTTTCTCTAAATCTGGGTCCTCACTACATATAGAGCTAGAGTCTGTAGAATTCTAAATCTTGCGTGCTGTGGCACAGAACCAGTGGCCTTCCCACTCCACCGTCACCCTTCTTCCCAGGGAACATGGGGAAAGAGGGCACAAACTGACAAGACTTGATAATTTTCAAAGGACGAAATTGCAAAATCCCAAATTTCCAACATCTGAAATTCACAAGGTTCAAGTTCCCCAGCTCAGATACATGTATTTTAATCTCCATTTCGCCACAATCTCCTTTGTTGCCCAGAAACACCAAATTCTGGAAACTATATTTTCCTAAATCAGATTTAAAAAAAAAAAACAAAAAAACAAAATAAATGTCTACAGTCTCAGTTCTCCCCAAATGTCCATGGTTTTAGAATTTTGACCTGTTGTGAAATTCAATTCCCTGGTCCATCCTCAACCCCTTCCATCTCCTGTGCCTTTCTGCCTCAGAGGAGTGCAGGTTAAGGATATAGGGGCACTGTCGTTGCACCCGCCCCCTGCCTCCAAGGCCTTCCTCAGTCTCTCTTGTGGTTCCGCTGTGTATATATATATATATTTATATATATAATTTGTGTGTAGATATATATATGTATTCTTTATTGTGTACTTTTTTTTTTCGCAGTTTTTCTAAAGTGCCAGAAACAAGATTTGTGGGAATTTTTTAGTGATTTTTTTTTTTTTTTTTTTTTTTTTTTCCCTGTTTTAAACTTTTCTCCCCCTTAAAAATTGGAACTCAGTACATTCAGTAGGAAACTCTTCACTCGGACTGCGGCCAAGACCAAGAAAAGTGCAAAGAGACGGAGGAGGAGTGAAGGAGCGACACTCCTCCATGGTTAACATTCAGGGAGCCTGTCGAAAACCTCCCTTTCCGTTTGCTGGGAGGGTGTGAGGAGGCAGGAGGCTGCTCCTGTCCCTCCCGCCAAACCACCTCCCTCCAAAAGCCATGATCTTGCCCTTTCAGCAGCAGTTGAGAGGGCAGCCATCTTGGCCCCATAAAACAGTAGCTGGGAAAAGGACTGCCATTTTGATGACAACAACTTTCCCCCTTTTTAAACTGCACTCCTCTAATTCCCGTTTATCAAATTTGCTCCCCCACACTGGCTCTCCCCTTGTGAGCTTTGTGTGTGTGTGTTGGGCGGGGGAAGGTGGGTGGATGGGAAGTGTTCATTCAATCACAGAGCGGGGAGGCCCAGTTATCAGAATTAGGAGTGAACATTTCTTCAACTCCACCAATGGAAGGAAACATAGGGACCCCTGACCAGGGTTAACTAGTGCAAATTAGGGATTAGGGACTTACAAGGTCCCTGTACCCCATCCCTAGGCTGGGATCTTTGGGTGTGGAAAACTGAGTCAAAGATGGGGTATAAGGTGCTATTTTGGAGGGAAAGTTGGTGGGGATACCCCAAAGCCCACCAGGGGGGTAGGATGGTTCCCCAAAAACCATCTGGAGTGATTGGTGAGAGAAGTGATACAGAGGGGAAAGAGGGCTAAGGAAAGGACGGGAGGTCGTGTGCAAATCTTGGGCTTACCTACCCATCCAACCCCCATCATTTTTCTGGCTATTTGGTCTAGTTTGGGAGAAACCACCGGGAAAAAAAAACAAGGAGGAAGTAGAACCCCTTCCCCATCCTATATAGAGCTCCTCCTTCCTGGCCCCCAAATCTGGCTTAGCCCAGATGAGGCCATATGCAGAGGCAGGAAGAGGTGCAATCCACTCACCTCTTTCGCCGTGGAAGAGTCTGGGGCTTACTAGATTTGAGGGTCAAAGCAGGGCCGAGATTGGTGCTGCCTGGGCTGGGAAAGAACTCAGCCAAGGAACAGATAGGTAGCCCTCCGTCCCACCCTGCTCCTTGACCAGGATGGGAGAGCCATCTCCACAGTCTTGGAGTAGGAGGAGGAATATGGAAGATCCAAAGGCGTAGAAGCCAAGGAAGGCATGGCGTCTTAACGTGAAGGGAACAGGGACACAAAAACCCACCCTTGGGAAGAATGGCATCTGAAGCCCACTCCCAGGTGGGTAAGTGTTGGGTATCACAATGGTCTGGTCCAGGCCCTGGGCCACAAAAGGATGGAATGTGCTAGGAAGCATCTGGGCAAGGGCTTAGAGAAAGCTTCAAGATGCAGGGTGGGGAACATTCGGGGAGAGAGATGGTTTCCCCCTAGGTTTAGGAGTCAGGGGGCGGGTTAGACATTCAGAGCTGGTGGGGGCCGTGAGTAGAGATTCATGGAAGTATATTGCTCAGTTGCCCCAAGGGCTGGAGGAGGGATGAGCTGGCCCTGCCCCTCACGGAGGCCATTCCCTGGAGGAGAACTGAGAGGGGAACCACCAAAGACCCCTTCCCAGGTGGTGGGAAAACTACAATCTCACACAAAGCAGCCTGACCCCTGAGCTCCAGAGGCCCCCAGGTCCCTGCACAGGAGTGTGGAGGGGCTCCCAAGGGGCAGGGAGGCCAGGGAGCTGGTAGTGGCGGGGGTTCAGGGAGGGTGGCATCTGGTGAAAGGGGGTATCCGGGTCCAGAGCTCACCCCACATCTCCCTTCTGGGTTCTTTCAACCCCTGCCCTCTCCCCTTCTCCCTTGGGGGCAACAGGTGGAGGAAGAGTTGGGGGTGGTGGGGTTGGGGGGGTAGGGGCTGCTGCTTGAGGATTGACTGCGTAGCCAAAGACCCCTGGTAGGAAAGGAAGGGCCCCCCCACCCTTCTCATCAGGTAGGACCATGTTAAGAGCGACCGGGAGAGCGGCCAAGTTGCTGAAGTTGTAAGGGTAGGCGGCAAGGAGCTGGGGGCCATAGACGAGTGGGTAGGGCTCAGGGTAGAAGGTGACTTTGGCAGCCCCCATCGCCTCCATCCGGTCTCCCCCGCCAGCCCCGCCTGGCCCCTCACTCCCACCTTTTCCCCTGCCACTGCCTGATTCCCGGCCGCTCCCAATCAGAGCCAGTGGAAATTCCTGCACAGGTGGGTATGCATAGGTGGCCCCTCCTGCCCCCACGGAAGGCTCCTCCCCTCCTGAGATGATGGGGTCCTGGAGCGAGGCGGGCTCAGAAGCTTCCTCGGCAGGGGCACTCCCGCCTCCACCACCTGCCTCCCCGCTGGATGAAGAGACCTGCATCTCTTGGGGGGCCTCCTCCTTGACCTCCCCGGCTCTGGCACCAGCGCTGCCCTTGGAGTAGGCGATGACAGGCGTGGGGGTGCCCCCGGGTCGCTCAGCGGCGTGCCTCTGCCCGTGGCGGCTCAGGGCAGCGGCTGTCTTGCACACCTTGGCGCAGTGAGGGCAGGTGAGGCGGGTGGAGGGCTTCCGTCCAGACCGGGAGCTGTGGGGGCCCCCGCTGTGGGCTTCCTGGTGCTTGCGCAGCTTCCTCAGGCTGGCGAATGTCTGGGCACAGTCCTCGCAGCGGTGTCTCCTCTCGCCACGGGCACGCCCCGTGGGGCCCTCGGCTGCCGGGGTCTCCTCCCAGCTCCTCCGTTCCAGCTTCTGTCTCCAGCGAGGCGGCCGGCGGCTTCTGGGCATCCCGCTGCCCCCGCTGCTAGCCGGGGCCGCGGCCCCAGGCTTGCGCTTGGGCTTGTAGGAGTAGTAGGGCCTCCAGAGCTGGTCCTCTCCGCCAGCCTTGGACTCCCCCTGCCCCTCCTCCTCCTCCTCCTCGTCCTCCTCCTCATCCTCCTCCTCCTCCTCACTCTCCTCCATCTCCTCGCCGCTTAGCTCCCCGGGACGCAGGTCTGTTTCTGAGATGCGGCGCTTGACAATCGCCTCCTCACCGATTCTCACAGTGATCTGACACAGTGGCGGTGGAGCCTGGAGCTGAGAGGGGCCCCGGCCAGGCCCTGCAGGAGGACCCGTGCCCCCGCCAATCCCACCAGCTGGCTTGGCCGTGTAGGTCAGAGTCCTCGTGGCCCGTGGGTTCCGGCCCTTGGCCTCCTCCGTGGCTGTGGCGGGCCCTGCGGCTGTGGCTGGGCTGCCTGCTGTGGCTGGGCTGGTTGGTGCGGCTGCAGGTTCGGGGGGAGGAGGTGGGTACTCACGTTTTTTGGGGGGCCTTGGGGGAGCAGTGTAAGTGATGACTGAGGCAGCTTGGGCCCCCCCTGTGCTGGCCGGCCCACTCCCTGCTCCACCACTGCTGCTGCCCCCATGTACAATGACTGAGGGAGCTGGGTGGGCAAAAGTGATGACAGATGGTGGGGGGCCAGGCTCTGGGGCAGGTGGGGGTCCGGGTGGTGAGCTGGCTGGCATTGCCACAGGGGCCGGTGTGTTGAGGCTTGGAGAGAGGGGAGCCTCGGGG